GCACGGTTTTGCTATAACACACCCACTGGGCTATAACGGCTTCTTACCACTAAGGTCACAGAATGTTCTGGTTCTCAAACTCGAGTTGCACTAGAATCCTTTTTTTTCCCCCCTTAGTTTGTCAAAAGCCTGACTGCTGCCTCAGGAGGCCTGGGTGAGTCAAGAACACACTTTTTTAAAAAAAAAAATTATATTTTGTGTGTGTACCGTCAAATCAGAACTAAATGGTACAGGAGATTGCCCCTCTTTCTCCAGCAGAGCATCTGGTGGATTCGAACTGTGCACCTCTGGGATTACAGTACAGCTTCTTGACACTAGGCCACCAGATCTCCCCTCTACACACATTTCTTGTTGCTGTTGTTGTTGTTTATAATTTAATTTTTCTTATTGTGTGTGTGTGTGCCATCAAATCGGATCTGACTGGTACAGGAGGGGCTTGCAGGTGGGTTCGAACCCTGTACCTCTGGGATGGCAGTGCAGCTTTTTGCCACTAGACCACCATAGCTCCCTCAAGAACATACATTTCTGACACGTTCTAATAGGTAAACGCTGAGAACACTGCCCCCTTGAGAACCATGGTAATAGACTTTAGGAATGAGCATTTCCTCCTAACAGGGGAAAACTAGTTGAGTCAGATGGCTAGATCTCACCTGCTAAAAAGCCCCCCTGGTTGGATGGTGGTGGTGGTTAACTATTATTGTTAACAGGAAGATCTTGATTAGGTCCAAAGAGTCCTGGCCTCTTTTCCCCTCAGGCCCTTGTAAAGAACACTTGGAGTGAACACATGGATGAAAGAACTTTATTTCTCCTCACAGCCGGTAAAAAGGAGAGCACATTTCAACAATGCTGCCTCAGAAAGAAATTTTTCTTAAATTTTATTATTTTATGTGTGTGTGTATGCCGTCAAACAGGATCTGACTGGTACAGGAGGAGATTTCCCCTCCTTCTCCAGGAGAGAATCAGGTGGTTTTGAACCGCATACCTCTAGTATTGCAGTGCAGCTTCTTGCCACTAGGCCACCAGAGCTCCCTGAAAGGAAATGTTTTGAGGAATGTTTGTAGGTGGGAAGGGAGTATGTATTTATGGAGTATTTTTACAAAGGAGAAACAGGGTTAGCTTTGTTGTTGTTATGTGCCGTTGAGTTGCCTGCGACTCATAGCGACCCTATGAACAACAGCCCTAAACCTGCTCTACCTTGTGCCAATCTCACTGTCTCTAACACACTTATCCCCATTACCCCAGACATTGAATCAATCCATCTCATTGAGGGTCTTCCTCCCCTGCGCTGTCCCTTCACCCTCCCAAGATTGACGTCCCTCTCCAAGGACTGGTCCCTCCTCACAACATGTCCAAAGTATGTCAGACAGAGCTTCAGAATTCTTGCCTCCAAAGAACAGCCTGGTTTCATCCTCTCCAGGACAGACCTGTTTGTTCTCTTAGCAGTCTAGGGTATATTCAAAACTCTTCTCCAACACTATAGCTCAAAGGCATCAATTCTCCTTCTATCATCCCTAGTCACTGTCCAGCTCTCTTAGCAAGTGATTGCAAAGACCTATATCAGGTGCACCTTAGTCTCCAGACTGACATCGTTGCTCTTCAGTACAAAGGAAGTATTGTGAGAATCGGGAAATACCTGACAGTGGGCTTCAAGATGGAGTCTCTCTGGTTAAAGGCTGTCAGAGTTCATTCTCACAGGTTGTGTGATCTGGGTTTTTCGCTCAGGGCAATTTTTACTGGCAGGTTATCTATAACAGCAGTCACTCTTTTTGCTTCTGGGCCTACACGACACCTAAAAGGTGTTTGTGTTATTGTTAAGTGCTGTTCAGTGTTGTTAGGTGACCCACAGCGACCTGATGAACCACTGACGTGAACCCTGCCCTCTCCTGCCCCCCCTCCTCAAGAGCTGTGCCAATCCATCTCTTTTGAGAGTCTTCCTGTCTGACCTTCCACCTTTCCCAAAACTGGTCCCTTCTGACGATGTGAGCAAAGTGTGTGAGAGGAGGTTTCATGTTCACGGGAAAAGTGCAAAAGGAATTGATAACAAAGTTCAAAGCCGTTAGGACGAAATACCTGGACGAGCACAGGGTGGATTCTGAATTCTGTGGATAATCTCAGAGGACACACCTGGGCCTTGCCGTAAGAAACTGTGGCTGCCCTCGTTGTGGAACGAACCCTGGTAGGAATAGCCCTGCTAACACAAAGCAGTCTGTAGCTTTCTGGCGGTTCAAAACCCACCAGAGACAGACGATATTTTCCTGTGTAATTTTCAGCTTCAGAATCCCAAAGATGCATTTGAAAAACTGAGACCATTAGCAGTTATGTCACAATGATTCCTCTCCCCATTATATATATTTTTTTTAAATTTTATTTTATTAGTTTTTGTGTGTGTACCCGCAAATCAGATCTGACTGGTGCAGGAAGAGATTGTTCCTCCTTCTCCACCAGAGCATCTGGTGGATTTGAACCCCTCACCTCTGGGCTTGCAGTGCAGCTTCTTGCCAATAGGCTGCCAGAGCTCCCTCCCTATTATGTATTTTTTAAATGATTTTTTAAAAATTGTATTATTTTTTACGTGTACCGTCAAATCAGATCTGACTAGTACAGGAGGAGATTGCTCCCTCCTTCTCCAGCAGAGCATCTGGTGGATTTGAACCGCGTACCTCTGGGATTGTGTATTATGTATTTCATTAAGATAAATACACATCTCACCACACAGGGTCCAAGAACACACAAATAGTAAATGAAGTCTAAGTCTGCTGCGTTCAAACATCATAGCCAGTGACGCCATGATTCCTTATGATCTTGCTGATGTAAAAACACATCCACGCCTCAATGGCTATCAAACTGTTCCGCAGAGATTCCTTCACTGTGAGCTGTTTGAAGCAACCAGGTTGAGCACTATTGATTCCTCCCCCACCCCGCCCCAGGCTCAGAATAGCTGTAGGGACCTCAGAAGCTGTTGGAGGACCTTGTCATAGTGCCAACGTGTGGCCAGTCGAGAGACTTCAGTAGTCACAGCAGCGTTCACCAGCGCCAGCGCCTCCTCCTCAGGGTTCCGGACACACTGGGCCCCCAACCCAGCGGCGCCCCTAGCAGTCACCTCCGGGAGGGCTCAGCCTCACACAATGTCCTTCCAGCAGGTGAAGCCCAATGAGCTGAGACAATAGGAAGGATTTTTCTAGCAGGAAATGGCAGATAGGGTTGGAGTGATTATGCTGTGAATAAAAACGGCCCCAGTGTTAAGAGCCCTATTGTCTTAAAGAAGTTATTCCTTTTCACATTCTAAGGTCTGGAATAAACGTTTAAAAAAACTTCCTGACAAGTGGGGGTGGGGGTTGGTGAGTCGCTGAACAATTCTGGGGTGTTGAATCCAGCCAGCTTCAACCCCGGAGTCCTTTCTCACTTACAAGCAACCCCTCGGGCTAGGAGAGGGGCTGCTCTGCTGCTGAGGGTCCCCTGAATGTAATCTTCAGGGGTGAAGTGCTGGGCAGACATGGTGGAGGCACAATGGTGGGGGGTTAGACTTGGCAATCGGCTCCCATTTCTTTGCTGAGAGCATTTGGACTCTTGCTGACTGGGAATCTTGCCCTTTTCACTGTCATCCTAACCACCTCTGATAAGCTCTAACCCCCCGTTACAGTAGCTGTGTCAAGCCATCTGGTTTAAGGTCTTCCTCTCTCAGACCCTCCACATTTCCTAAGGACTAGCAGGCCCCTCCTGGAACAACATGCCCAAAGGATGTGAGAAGTTTCATCATCCTTGCCTCCCAGGGGCGCCCTCATTCCACTTCCTCCAAGTGGGCTCGACAGCACCTAACGATAACAATTTCTGCAGCCCCCCACGTCTTCCACCCAAGGGATGGCCAAATGGCCAGCTTTTCCTTTCGCAGCAAACAGCGTGCCCATTGCGACAAGGCTCCTTCCCCTAGAAACCTGTGTGTGGCTTCTGTGCAGGGGTGGGGCGAAGTGGTGTCACCTAGTCTTGGGGTGACTATGAGGCCATCACTTTTTTTTTTTTAAGAAATATGCCTTTAGCAAGCTCTGGTGGCCTAGTGGCAAGAAGCTGCACTGCAATCCCAGAGGTGTGCGGTTCAAATCCACCAGATGCTTTGCTGAAGAAGGAGGGGCAATCTCCTCCTGTACCAGTCAAATCTGATTTGACGGTACACACACACACACACTAAGAATAAAATTTTAAAAAAGAGTGCAACAATGAATGAATGGAAGCCCAAAATCTCTGTAAATGTTCATTAAAATTAATAAAATTTATTATAAAAAGGAAACATGCCTTTATTTTATAAGAAGCCATCACTTTTTTTCAAGATTATTTTATTATTTTTGTGTGTGTACCGTCAAACCAGATCTGACTAATACTGGAGGAGATGGTCCCTCCTCCAGCAGAGCATCTGGTGGATTCAAACCGTGTCTCTGGCATTGGGACACCATCACCTTTACAACAGAGCAGATCTCCAAGTCTTTGCTCCTGGGAGCAGCCAAGCACTTAACTAAGCCTGTGACAAGAGCAGATTTTCTCTCCAAGAAAAGTAATTTTCATTTGGCAGATTGTGTAAAAAAAGAAAGGAAAACTAAAAAGGAGGGAAGAGAGGGAGAGGAAGGGGGAACGTGCAACAGTGAATTTTAAAAGAAAAAGAAAGAAAAGCCACCCAGAGAATTCAAACCAGATTTCAAACCAATGGGATTTGGCTCGGGTTTAGTAATGGTTGCCCTGCACTGCCCCCTTCTGGCCAGAAGAATAGGTACATGGATGGATGGATGGATGGATGGATGGATGGATGATGCGACGGATGGATGGGTGGATGAATGATGGATGCGATGGATGGATGGATGGATAGATGGATTGGATGGATAGATGGATAGATGGATAGATGGATAGATGGATGGATGGACGGATCCCATGAGACTCAAAGAACCATGCCGGGGAATCCTAGCCCCCAGCAGCCTGTTCCTTCACGAGCTGTGCCTCCCCCCACGCTCCTCCAGGTAAATCCCGTGTTCCTAGAGGACCAGGCAGTGGTGGAAATGGTGTTTTTCCCTAAGTCGCGCACCAGGACAGTGCTGCGCTGCCCCCACCCTGGTGGATCGGCTGCCCGGCTGCAGGGCGCGGTCGACCAGCAGGTGGTGCTGTGCGTGGACCGCGCGGGCCGTGCATTTGCGGTGCTCCGCGCTCGCCTCGCTCCTGGGAGACCGCGCTGAACGTCAAGGGCCCCGAGGTGGAGGCTCAGCTGCCCGCCTGGCGCCAGCTGCTGCAGGGCGCACCCGTTCAGTTCTGGGGTGCGCAGGGCCTGGAGACGCTCTTCACCAGGACGCAGGAACTGGTCGGCCTGGGCTGGCCGCCTTGTCTGCTGTCTACGCCAAAATGCTGGCCATGGTGCTGGCCAAGGTGCTGCCCAAGGAGCTGTCCAAGGTGCTGGCCAAGCTGAGTGCACAAGACCCGGCCGCCTTTGTGGAATACTTCGAGTGTAGCACCATGTGGGTTCGCTGCTGAGCCTTCGAGGTGGGCTGCGACCTGGACCCAGTTGGGTGGCCATTGCCAGCACCTGCTGCACCGTCCCAGCCCTTTGTGCAGCGTGGCACAGTGTCTCCGCGACCTGATGGTCAAGCAGTGAGCTGAGGCGACTGGAGAGATTTCAGATGGGCGGGGCTGCTGGAACAGGGTACTCTGGTTGAAGGATGTGGTCTGGGAGAAGGGCTGAAAGATGAGAAGCCTGGGGATAGTAGGCAGGAGAAGAGACTCAAAAGAAGGAAGTATTTGAGGAGAGGCTTCCTTAGAAAAAGAGTGGATGAGAGGGCTGGAGGCCAGAGGCTGGAGAGGGTGTTGCAGACCAGAGATTGGAGGGACCTCGAATTGGAGATGCCTGAGGGAAAAGGGCTGGAAGCGAGTATGTGGCATGTAGTCCTACTGGGAAATGACGATATAAGAGGACCTGAGATCAGAGAGTGGAAAGGGGGCCCCACTAGAGGGTGAGAAAGATAGTGGTTTGTACAGTTACGTCTGGGGAGAGGACCAACTGGAGGAGCAGGGTCTAAGAGTGCTGGACGACTATACTTGGAGGATGGTCCAGTTGGAGGAGCAAAGCATCAGAATGCTGGAAATGACAGCAGGGACACCCTGCGTGTGAGAAGGCCCCGAGTCTTGAAGGGGGACACCTGGAGGGTGGCTCTACTCATAGAATGAGAGGGTTAGTGGGCTGTAAAACCAGAGACTGGAAGGGGAGGGAGGCTGGAAGTCAGAAACTGGAGGAGAGACCATTTCAGGAAGCTTTAGAAGAAGTCCTTGATTACGCAGACGGAAGGGGTCCCCAGTGGAGTGCCTGGGACCCGAGCCTGGGGAAGTGAGAGGAATGGGACAGGAGCTCAGAAGAAGGGGTCTGGAAGACATGATTCTGGTCCAGCCGGGAGACAGCAGGCCTGGAGAAAGGAGATGAATGGGAAGTCTGGCCTGTGGACCCCAAGAGGTGAGGCGGATGGGAGGTGGAGTTGCAGGTCACTGGAGAAGGGTGTTCAGGACTGGTAAAATATAAAATGAATTATAACACCAGAGAAGCCCTCACTCCTTGGAATAATCAACCATGGAAGATGTAAAGGACATCATTTGTCCAGGGACGAAATTCAACAGGCTGGAAGGAGTAGGAAGGAGGGATTAATGAAAACAAGAATCACATGGGTAAAGTCTGAAGAGTGAAGCTACATTGTGGGCATTGTAATCACGGTCAGAAAAATGTCTAGAAATGATTGAATTGGAAACTGATTAATTTTGCAAACTTTAACTCAAATGGCAATGTTAATAAAACAGAATAATCAACTTCATAAAACAGAAAAACCAACAGGATTTGTAAACTATCCCTCTCAATTAAAAAAAAAAAATAAAGCATTTTGTATTATTTTTTAAAATAATTGTAATGAGCATTTACAGAGATTTTGGATTTCCATTCATTCATTGTTGCACTTCTCTCCCCACCCAGCCCTCCCCCCCTCCCCAGTTCGCTCCTCTCTTTCAAAAGTAAAAGAAACACTCCTTCTCTGGTACACAATCTCCCTGCACCCCTCCCACCGCCCCAAGTACATTCCACTATGCAACCTTAATTGTGGACTCTTGTGATAACCATAATACCCTATCATACATCGCTTTTAAATTATTCACTCCCTCATCTGTTTCAGTGCAGTATACACAATTTATCCAGTTTTTCTCAGTCTTACCCCAACCCTGATATCAATCCCATTTTACAACAGTGGCACCATGCAATATTTGTCCTTTTGCGACTGAGATATTTCACTCAGCATAATGTCCTCCAGGCTCACCCATTTTTAATAATATTGCATGAGTTCCTTGTTTTTCAATGCAGCGTAGTATTCCATTGTGTGAATATACCACAGCTTCTCTATCCATTCATTTGTTGATGGGGCATTTTGTATTATTTTAAAAAAATCCACAACATTCATTGTCAGTGTACTGGTTAATGTAACTGAAATTCATATGCAACACTGACTACCTCCATGACCCTGAGGCAAAAGTAGCTGTTGCCCAGCTAGCACTGTGGACCAGAGCTTATTTAAAATAAGAATAAAGGAATTCTTTAAGGGTTCAACAAGATTCTCACCACTGGACCAACTAGTGCCACCATGAAAGACAGAGAAGAGACAGATATGGTGAACAATTTCAGCTTGCTCAGCCCCACAATTAACATTCTTGGCACCAGCAGTCAGGAAATAAAAAAACAAATTGCACTGATGAAGTCTGCTGTCAGGAACCTCTCCAAAGTGCTAAAGAGTAATGATGTCAGTCTAGGGACTAAGGTGTATCTGATCCAGGCCATAGTCTTTGCAATTACTTGCTATGCATCAGAGAGTTGGGCAATGACTAAGGATGACAAAAGAAAAATTGATGCCTTTGTGTTGTGGTGCTGGAGAAGAATATTTAGCATACCATGGGCTGTCAAAAGAACTAATTCCTCTATCTTGGAGAGGCTGAAACCAAGTTTCTCTTTGGAGGCTAGGATTTGTAAACTCCGTTTCACATACTTTGGGCACATGGCCAGGAGGGAACAATTCTTGGAGAAGGACATAATCCTTGGAAGAGTGGAGGGACAGCATAAGAGAAGACCCTGGATGAAGACCCTGGATAAGATGGACTGATACAGTAACTGAGGCAGTGGGAGTAGATGTGTCGGAGACAGTGAGACTGGCTCAAGATAGAGCAGGGTTCAGAGCTGTTGTGCATAGGGTCGCTATGAGTCACAGGCGACTCGATAGCACATAACAACAACAACATTCCTCATGACAGACAAAGTTTATTATAAGGTAATAAGAGATTCTAAGCCTTCAAATAATTGTCTTCTGTTGTCCTCATCTGCATATTAATTTTTTAAATGACACAAAGTAGCCATCTGCAATGTCCTGCCTCTCTCTGTAAACATTTATGTGGCAAATGACAGGAAGTTCCACTTCAACTGACTTAATATATGAAGTCTTAATATTTACGGAAGACATAATATGTATCATTGGCTTAAGCGAATGAAAGGACAAGAGATGGGGCTGATTGCACGTGAGCTTGACCCCCTGGATCACACGAAGACTGTGACATTACACAGGTGTGTTCCGGTGCCACGTCTCCAGCCTGCATTCCATATTGTTCTCATTATCAGACCACACATTCTACATGGCAAGCCTCACATCTCACAGCAGACCGTGGAGTGAAGAAAGAGCATAGACCACCAGTTCTGAAAAAACAAAAACAAAAACAAACTCTTAAAAGTGCCACATTGACTTGGATGTCAATTCCCAATGAATTTTTTCAAAATGAAGTCCACAGCTTTAAAGACATTTACCTGTTTAAGTAAACTGCTGGGGTTGGAGCTCTAAATCAGTAGAACTGTGCTACCTCTACCGTGGTGGTTTGGGAAAAAAAGGCTTGAGAAACACCTTAGTACCTAAACAGTAGAAATTCTGTTGGTGTCATCCACAATGAGTTCTAACCTAAAGGACATCTGAGGGCTGTGTGCCCAAATCTCTCCTTGGTCCTTCCCTACCACACCTATCTTCTAGTGCATTCCTGACTCAAACCTACAACCTTTGGATGTAATAAAGCATAATCATGACAGATCCTTTTTTGGTTCATAAGTGTGGTCATAAGGGAGCTCTGGTGGCCTGGTGGCAAGAAGCTGAACTGCAATCCCAAAGGCACGTGGTTCGAATCCACCTGATGCTCCACTGGAGAAGGAGGTGCAGTCTCATCATGTGCCAGTTGGAAATGATTTGACGGTTCACAACAAGAAAGAAAGAAAGAAAGAAAGAAAGAAAGAAAGAAAGAAAGAAAGAAAGAAAGAAAGAAAGAAAGAAAGAAAGAAAGAGAGAGAAAGAAAGGAGGG